AAGGGAAGGGAAGGGAAGGGAAGGGAAGGGAAGGAAAGAGAGGAAACTCCTTATTTCTAACCCTAAATTTCTTCAAAAATATAGATCATGAAAAAAATGAAATATACATGGAAGAGCTCTAAACCACTAATTTAGACACTGTAACACTCTCAGAAATGTTTCTCATCCTCTTGCTATGGCTACTGCATTTCTTTTTATTATAAATAAATTCTAGCTGCTAGCCATAATTAAATGAAGCTGTCCAATCTTAGAATACAGAAATACAACCTCTACCATGACCTCTGCTGTAAATAACCAGGTCCCATGAGCTTATTTAAAATAGTTTTCCACTAGTAGTGGTGAATTTCAAAGTCATAGCACATCCCAAATCCAAGCTTACTCTGCTAAAGTACGAACTGCTCACCTGTGTTTCCACCTGGGGGATCGAGATTGTGACCAAGCCATCCTTTGACACATGAGCCACTAAGCTCTTTTTATACTGCAAAGAAACACAGTATTAGCAAGTTTGTAGAAAGTTTCCAATCTGCTCTAAAACACAGTGAATGCTACCAAGAGAAAGGTACTTAACCCCTCTGTGCCTTATTTCCCCATCTGTAAAATGAGCATTATAGTAACAGCACCTACCTCACTGGAATGTTGTCAAGACAAAATGAATAAATTCAGGTATCAGAAATTTTTTTCTCTGATAGACCACATTACAAATGTTTTAGGTTTTATAAGCCATATAAGGTATCTGTCAAAACTATTCCTTCTTTTTAAAAACATAATGCCCTATAAACATAAAAAACATGATGAGAAGCCAGGCGTGGTAGCGCACGCCTGTAATCCCAGCACTCAGGAGGCTGAGGCAGGAGGATCGGTTTGAGACTAGCCTGGGCTACATAGTGAGTTCCAGGTCAGTCTCAACTACATAGTGAGACCCTGTCTCAAAAAACTAAAGAAAAAAAAAAAGATGAAACCACCTTGAAATGTGCTACAAGTATAAAATATACATAAGATTACAAAGACTTGGTCCAAAAAAAAGAGAATACAAGTATTTCCTTAATATGTTTTAATATTTATAACATATTAAAAGGGTTTTTAATACATTGGGATAAATCTTTCATATTGTTAAAATTAGTTTACAAATTAAAAAATCTAAAACAATTTTTAGCTAAGGAGCCAAAGAAAAATTGGCCTGGCAGGATAAATGCACTAAAGTTTGACGACCCCTGAGTTAAATCATAAAAAAAAAACTCACTAGTGTCTGGCACATACATGTATTTCCCTGAAAATAAGACCTAGCTAGACAATAATCAGCCTTGAAAACCAGAGGTCAAAACTGCCGGCCCCAATCGGTGTATCCTTGCTTTACCTGCTTTACAGAGCAACCACCAAACGAGAACAGTGATGGCAGGTAAAGCAAGGATACGCTGATTAGGGCCAGCAGTTTTGATCTCTGGTTTTCAAGACTGATTATATTCTGGCTAGGTCTTATTTTGGGGAAAGGAGGGTAGTAACTGCTAAATAAATATCTGAAAAGAGGAAAAAGTACCCAGAATTACTTTATCAGCATGCAACCCTTATTGTCTTCCTGATTTTTGCCATGAGTACAAATTCTTCATATAATCACAGCCAAAATATTAGGGCCAGGGATGTAGCTCAGTGGCGTAGTGCCTGCCTGGCAAACATAAGACCCTGAGTTTGATTCCGAGTATCAAAAAAAAAGAAAGAAAGAAGGGCCAGGGATTTACTCAGTGGTTCCGATGCCTGCCTCGCAAGAATAAGAACCCGAGTTCGATCCCTGGTACAAAAAATAAAATAAAATAAAAATATTTAGGAATGCATTACTACTACATCCTATTTTTATAACTTGCTAGATTATGAAAATTATAATTCCTAATTATAAGAGTCAATTACTGCCTAACTTTCCATCAGATAAATTTACTGAAAATTTAAGTATTACTAGACATTTATTTTGTTTCTGATTTTGTACTAAAACAAATAACATCAAATACTCTTTTTTGGTACTGGGATCCAAATGCCGGCCTCACACAGGCTAGTCATATGTTTACCACTAAACTACATCCTCCAATCCAAGTAAGTAAATTTTAATAAGTATTTTAGGTATTCTTGAAAAACTGATTGTGTCAGGAACTAAATTTTTAAAATACATAATTAGGATATGACTTTCTATACTGTTATTTATACCTCAGTAGTCTTCAATATGATACTATAATTAAGTAGTCCCCAATTTACTGGTTCTAACCCCCTGATGGCTTTGAAAATTATTGCCATCAGTCCATGAATAATCAATCATACAGCCACAGTTATGGTTTATATCTAGATGTCCCCCACAAGGCTTCATGTGCTCAGAGGCTGGACTTTGGGGAGTGACTAGATAATGGGGGCACGATATTCTCATCAGGGGGCTAGCCCACTGTTGTATTTATAGCTAAATGTGATGTTGGGAGGTGAAACCCAGTCAGAGGAGGCGGGGCACTGAGGGCATGGCCTAGAAGGGTCTACAGCTCTCCCTCCTCCTTTGATCTCTCTTTGTTTCTTGTCTGCCATGCCATGAGCTGTTTCTCCTCCGCCATGCTCTTCTACCATGCTGCCATGCCTTGGAGCCAGTCCAGACTAAGGTCTGAAACCTCTCCAAACTATGAGCCAACATCAAACCTCTCCTCCTTGAACTTGTGAGTGTCAGGTATTATGTCTCAGCAATGAGAGAGTAACTAAGACAGATTTTGGTACAAGACGTGGGGTCATTGCTGTGACACTGCCTGATCATGTGATTCAGAAGCCTTTGGAGCTGGTTTAGGGGAAGAATTTGGGAAGGTTTGGAGATGCTTGCTGGAGAAGCAGCTCTAGGATGCTGTGAGCCAAGCTTGATGGGAGATTGTGGTTGGAACTCAGATGACTAGAATGCTGACAGTAATGCAGCCAGAAAAGACCAGGATCAAGAGGTTTCATCAGCAGTTGGACTCCAGACAATGTGTGTTATGCTCTGGCAGAAAATGTGTCTGCATTTTGCTCATGTCCTGGGACTTTGCAAAAGACTGAGATAAGAGTAATGGACTAATCTAGCAGAGGAAATTTCAAGGTAGCCAAACATTGAGGCTGTGGTTTGAGTACTGTTTAAGGCTTTAGCCAGCTCTATACTGAGAATCAAAAGCAAAAGGTACAGCTGAATGACTTTAAATGTTTTAAATTTGGCCAGAAAGGAAGCTCCAGTGAAAGTTAAAGCCTACAAAGATGAAGTAGTGTTTAGCATTACAAAGAAGCCAAGTACTTTGGATCTGGACAATACAAAGGATATCTTGAGGGCACTGAAGGAACCTGAAAGACACCACCCTTTGCAGACTCAGTGGTAGGAAAAGTGAAAGACTTTGCTCTGAGAAGAGAGCGCCACAGCCTAGGGAATGGGAATTGATTCCCCATAATTCAGTTCACCACACTCAGTCATTCAGGCACTCAGAGGCCTCCACAGCCACCAGCAAGATGAGAAAGGGCTCAGTTACTATTCAAGCTGTGCCAGACCTTGGTGTCATCCATATGGTGCTGTTTTTACACACATGCAGAATTTAAGAGTTGTGAGGTGAGGAAGGCTTCCACCAAGATATCAGAGGGCCTGGAAGGCCAAGCATTGTTCTCCTGAGATGGCAGTGTACGAAGCCGTGAGTGTGAAGCCAAAAGTGTAGTGGAGACCACAGTTTAAGTTGGAGAAGCCAGGAACATGAAATGTCTCAGGAGAGCCACAAGGAGTGATGAAAGCCAATCCAAGATAGAAGCCATGAGGGCTACAACCACCAGCAGTGTCACAGAGGTGAATATGACACAGTATCACCTGGTAGTTTGGGTTTACATTTCTCTAATTACTAATGAAAGTTAAACTTAAAACAGGCAAGGAACTATTAAACAAATCATACTTTTTCCTTTAATCTATTAATTTGACTTAAACTTGTTAGGAAAATAATTTAAAAGGAAAAGGTAGCAGCTACATACATACTAAGATATTTATATCAGCCTTGTTCATAATAGGAAAGGAAAAATAATCCAGCAAAACTGATTATAACCCAAATGTCCAACAATCAGTAAAAGAGTAAATAAATCTAAAATGTATACATCTAGTAGCTTTCTGCCTTTTTCCTAGTTTTATGTGTCTCATTTCCTCCATACACCCTACTAGTCTACCACACCACATTACTTGCTTTTGCCTGATCAGATCAAGCTGTTTCTAAAACACAGATGGCCTTGTCTCTATCTAACAAATCCCTGTTCTTTCAGGACTGCATGATTTATCATCTCCCCCTGGGAATCTTCCCTTGACCCTTCTCCCCAAGTTTCTCTCTTCTTTAGGAATTCTAAATTTGTTCTGCAGATACTTCAATACATTGGGTTTATTTACTCCAATAGGCAAATAGTATTTATTATTTCAAATAGTATTTATCACAGAACACAGAATTAAACCCATGAATGTATGACATGTTCAATCTCATTAATAATTGGGAAAATGCAAGTTAAGATCATAGTCCTTTTACACCTACCAGACTGATCAGAACAATTATTTAAATTGCACATTCTGGAATGTTGGAAAAATACGGAACAACAGGAACTTTCATATATTGCTAGTTGAATATATGCAAGTATAACCAGTTGGGAAGCAGTGTGGTAGTACTCGATAAAGTTGAGCATGGCAATATCCCACGGCTCAGCAATTCCACACTGGAATATACCTCAGAGCAGTGGTTCTCAAAAGTTAGTGTGCAATGAAATAACCTGGAGAACTTGTCAAAACACACATTGCTGAGCCCTACCTGTGGGGTAGGCCCCAATTCCAGCAAGTTCCCAGGTGATGTGGTTATGACTGGTCCAGGGACTTCTGAACCACTGGTTAGGGAATGGGCAGGGTATGATGGGGATCAATTAGGAGAAAATGTTTGCAAAGTAAGATTCCTAAAAAAAGTACTCCTAAAAATATTTTCTTTTGGTTGTTAAAGTTAACTTTATAAACATTCAAATTATTCACTCCAAAAAGGGGCACTGTATAGCATAGAAATTATACTTGATAGCTGGGGGAAAAAAGGTTATCTTTGGGGTAATGAAACTATTCTAAAATTATCAGATATTATGGAAATGGTTGCACAACTGTGCAAAACTTGCTAAATGCCGCTGAGTTACACTTCAAAACTATAAATTATAACTCAATAAAGCTGTTTTTTAAAAGTTAACTTAGCAATTGCTTGGTATACATCAGCTGATAAAAATACTTGTTCAGGACCCAGCAGCCATCGCTCAAGCGCCGGGAAGGTAGGCCAGCCCCGATCCACCGGGGGAAGGAGAACCACGCCTGCTCC